ATGGGAGTCGTAAGCAGAGAAGAGTTATAAGCGCGTCGAAATAGTAGTCGGAAGAATCAGAGCGTTTCCATTTTCTTCTGACTCCGCTTATGACTCCGTCGTTTACGATCTAGTGAAAACCAGATTGTGGGAGTCGAAAGCAGAAGCGGATGGATTAACCAATCACAATACACGTTCACTCGCTTTGCGATTGGTTTAGTTCTTCCGCTTCTGCTGGCGACAACCTAGTTTTCACTTGATCGTAAAAGACGGAGTCGTAAGCTGAATTAGAACGCTGTTTTCACTAGATCACAAAGTTCTACACTCTGTCGCTATTGAAAACCAGCCTTTTTAATTGTTAATCGATATCTACGTCTTATTTTGTAAGTCTTTATTTGAAGACACTAACCTGACCCACTGTTTTCTCCTTTTTATCATCCTGAGCTGGATCCACCCTTGTTTCTTCTTGTTTGAGTTTTCCAGCTACCATTCTCACAAGATTGGGTACAAATTTAGACACACCTTGTTTTTCATCAGTGCATTTCCAGTTGCTTACTTGATCGACGTCGACTTCGAATTTTGACAAGTCCAGTTCAATTCCGTCAGTGCTCTGCTGCTTGGGATCGAATGAAAGACCTAAGAAAGAGTTTTTCAAACTAGTCTTGCCTGCTCGATCTTGACCTATGAACATGATTCGAGCACGGTATACCTTAACGTTTCCAGTCTTCAAAGCATTTTCGTAGGCCAGCATTGCTTTTCGCCCTCGTGCTTTAACCTCACTTGGAAATTGTGGCGTTTGACTCTCTGGATACGCACCTATCACATTTTTGATAGCATCAAGAACAATCGGGTGTACACGAACGACATTCCCTCCAGAAAGCTGTTCATACAGCAACAACGAACATTTTCTGAATCTCGTGCGGATTTGCTTCTCATCCACTTCATCAACACATTCTTCCATGTTCATAATATGATTTATTGCTGCGCCTTCGTTTAGCGGTTCCGGTGCGTGGAGGGAAAGTAAAGTAAACAGGTGTTTAAAAAATCTATCACTTCTAATCAGCTCTTCGACGGCCAACGAAATATGGCAAGGAAATCCAAGGCGGCGAGGTGTTTCCATGCGCAGGTAGTTTGCCCAACAATAGTTTGGAGAACCATTGACCACAACGGTTTGCACATAAAAGGCAGCGGCTACTAAAGCAAGTGGATGATACTCAAGAACCTCAGCAACCTTCTCAGCCTCTTCTTGATTCTGGATCTTGGATACGTGTCGTAACAGGTTCACTGCTTCATCTAGATGCATTCCTTTGCTGAGAGACTCATGGTAAGTAAGAGGAGCATTGACGGGTATTGAACTGATATCTTGAGTAGTTATTAACACCTGACCATGACCCAATTCCTTCCTGCCGCTAGGAGGCAGATCACCTTGGACCGAAGATAGGTCGACAACATTATCTACAATTATCAGCCAGTTAGAGAATTGTTTTGTCTTAGAAAAAATTAATGTCTTTAGATACTCGATTTTTTCAGGGAGGTTTCTCGAAGCCTCTAGCTTAGCCAAAGCGTTATCTGTAATCCCAAAATGTCTGGCCAGTCTACAGTAGGACTTTGCAAGTGAATCGAGTGTTTCTGCATTCAGGGTTGCAACAAATGTTAGGTCTTCGCCTTCACGCCACCTCTTGTCGAAGATTTCCTGACCCACTTGCCGAGCGATTTGACTTTTGCCACAGCCCGGAATCCCTGATAAATAGACGGTACTGATGACTCCTTTGCTGTCATTTTGCAGCTCGTCTAGTTTTTTCATGATTCTTGTGACATCGTTTACACGTCTGATGATGGGATGTGATGGCTTACATGATGTAAGAATACAAAAAGACTCGACTTTGGAATTGATTTCATGAGTTAGGGTCTCAACTTCTTTCTTCTTCGACTGTAATTCTGAGGTTAAATTATAGGCTTCTTGCTCTTTCGTTTGTAAGTCAACGTTAAGGTTATCAGCCTGTACTTTCAAAGCATCTACGTCGGCTGTCAGGGGAAAGTCGGTCTGCTTTCTAATATCGTCAACCTCATAAGTTGGAAGACTCAATGATGTGAAAGCAGCTAACACTATTGCAACATAATTTTGGAATTCAACATCAGTAAGTTTGCCCTCAAGGGTGTGAACGATGTTGTTTCGAAATTGTCGAAGATCGTCAACTCCGTTTCTTACTAGCGGACTCAGTCTCCTGCCAATAGAATCCGAGTATAATATTGCAAAAAATAGACAGACAGTGTCCCACTCTGCCGTGTTTCCCCTTCGTATTGTCGCTAAAACTCGAGCATTTCTTAGGTGGGTACTTGTTGATTCTCTGTTGCAGAAATCGAGGCCATTTTGGGGGGTTTCGTTCCATTCTCCAAACGCTGTTGCCTTGTAAAGGAAATCCCACTCTTGTTTGAAGACAGTTCGAAGCCCTTCAGGAATTAAGTTGAAGGCGATGTGACAGGCTCTAAAATAGTTTAATTGTTGCCAAGTGTATTTCATTTTAATGGAATCTTGTGTCACTATTCACTTTGAAGCTACCAATGTTTGCTTAGTTGCCCATTTGCAGACATAAATACCACAAAAAACGGTTCTGAAGCCATATGCAAAAAAGAAAGAAAGAAAGAAAAAAAAGGCGATTATTTCAGCTTTAAATATTAATTCTTGTCACTGAGAATGGCAAGAAAACGACTAAGGGCCTCATTTTAGAAGGAGAAAGGTTAATCCTAGAGCTAGGGTTATTCGATCAAAAGGGCCAAACCTTAACGAAATTATTTCAAAGGTAACTTTACCCTGTCTACCGACCCTATCACCCAAGTCAACTTCAAGTAGTTATGCTTCAGCAAAATTAAGCCCCTTTAGTGTCTTCCCCTGTCTTCCATTTATTAACATGCATAAGTGTCTTCCTCCATACTAATGAGTGTCTTCCTGCATACTGATAACTGTCTTCCTCCATATTAATTAAGTACCTAGTCAGTGTCTAGCTAGCTAGGTAAAAATGAGTTCCTCCATACTAATTAAGTGCCTAGGCTTGTCCGTTAAGTAACTTGAGCCTGGTTTTCAGACCGTCTATAAAAGGAAAATAGGAATAAGAGAAGCGATCACCTAGCAACGCCAGAAACGGCTTTCTCTATCTGATTTAGCGCTAAAACTCAGATATATAAACAAAACAATAGAGGGAAAACCATAGAAATGTGTTGGCGGTGGTGGTGGAGGGAAAACAATAGAAATGTGGAGGAGGAGGGAAAATAATAAAATTGTAGAGAAGGGAATAAAACAAGAAAATAATGAGGAGGGAAACATAGTGTAAAAAAAATACAGCTCGCTTTCTTTCACTACTTTAATAGATTAATCACTGAGTATTTTACACTTTTTGCAATTATTAAAGGGTCATAAAGTGGATATCTTGTGTCTTAACAAACGTGTCTGCTTTTATCGCGAGCAATTATTAGTCGCGTGTTTTAATTGATCCTTGTCAAGTTATTAATTGGTTTGTTTTTGTGTGTTTTTGTAATAATACGTCAAGATGCTCCCATGCGTTTTTTACTGCAGAGCTAATTTGTATGCAACGGTGAGCTTGTGAACTCGCATAATTACCTGACTAAAGGCGCGTGAAACGCTGAGACTGTAAAAGTTTTTCATTTCCTCGAGATAGAAAGGAGAAAACGGTTTGTAATAGTCAGACAAAATTGAAATAGAGAGTATTCAGCTCCACTTCGTGTATGTGCGTGTGTTTTGTTTATATATCCGAGTTTTAGCGCTAAATAAGATATAGAAAGCCGTTTCTGGCGTTGCTAGGCGATCGCTTCTCTTATTCCTATTTTCCTTTTAATAGACGGTCTGAAAACCGGGCTCAAGTTACTTAACGGACAAGCCGAGGCACTTAATTAGTATGGAGGAACGCATTTTTACCTAGCTAGCTAGACACTGACTAGCCACTTAATTAATATGGAGGAAGACAGTTATTAGTATGCAGGAAGACACTCATTAGTATGGAGGAAGACACTTATGCATATTAATAAAGGGAAGACAGGGGAAGACACTAGAGGGGCTTGATTTTTCTGAAGCATAACTACTACTTCACGTGCTTGACACTACGTGTTCGTCACGCGTGAAAACACAAGACTTAATGAATTTTTCTTTGCCAGGTCGAAGATGATAATATACCCTGTTATACTACTACATGAGAAATTTCGGCAATTTGATTGGCTTAGAGCAGTGGTATTTCAGCTTAATTTGAAATACTTACATGTAAAAATGAGAAACCTTTTTGGGGTAGTAGTATAAACAAATAATAGCATGGTTTGTACGTGATATTTGGCGTAAATACCACTCGTGAAATTAAGTACGACAATTTCGAAATATCACTACAAATCATGCTATTACCTATACAAATATGAGTTTATACTTAACAACTGATAGAGCCTTTCCTAATGAAATAAACCATTCTGGCAATACAAAGAGAATCTGCAGCGTACCCTCTTCCATAACTGCTCTTTCATAGTGCTGTGAGAAAAGAACAACTGCTGGCTTTAGTAAAATGGCTTTCTTGGTGGCGAAAATAGTTTGCTGGAAAGAGGAATGTGGGATTGACGTCATTATCATCGTCACTCACTGAAATAAAGATATTTCTACGATTGAAAAGGACCCTATTAAGATATTATAACCATTTTTGTTATGATTTTTCAATTTTTTTTATCGTTACTATTTTATTATTTCGTTTTTTTCTTAACCTCTTGCAATTTTGAATGTTTATCCCGTTCCTCGTTTTCTCTTCCCCAACGTTCGGGGAGAGGGAAAGCTTAACGAAGCCCTAAATCATGACGAATAAAAAGGATAGCCGCTACCGAAGAACATCACTGAAAATGAAACTCAACATATTGTTGTGTAAAAAAAACCGGTACCGACAACGCTGTTTTTTATATATACTGATATTAGCCTGGGAAAACAGTCGTATTTGTATTTTTATAACGTTTTTACGCAAATATATTTTGGAATTTGCTCGTGGTCCAAGTAGACCAGTAATAAGCTTTTTATATTTATCGTTAAACTTGAAATTATTTGATCAGTTAAACTTAAAATGTGGCATACAGTACAATGATCTCTTCCCGTCTGCTCCCGCGAATAAGACAGTCATAATTTTGGTGTCCTTCTTTCTTGCGGTCACAGACGAGTAGCGCCACAATAGCCTGCTCCAGGCGTTCTGATGAAGGAGACGTCGAAAAGAAAAGTGAGCAGAAACTAAAACAGCGTGGGGGGTAACCCTCCTCTCTCCCTCTTCGTTTCTTCCGCTTTTTTGCCTTCCGCTTCGTCATACTGAGATATAATTCAAAATATCAATCGAAATGAAGGAACGAAGTTCTTTAATCTCAGCCTGCAGTCAGCATAAAGTTGTTTTTCTTGTAGTGCTAACTATATTCGCAGTAGATTTCTGATTACTTAGTCTTCTTGCAGTAAAGCTTTGGGTAAGAATACCCTTTCAGACAGGAGATAGTCCGTCGGCACTTTTCCTCAATTTGTGCGTCAACTTTCACAAATGTGTAGGCGTAGCATTTTAAGGTTAAATTTTACCAGCTATTTGTGCAGTGAGTTCCGCAGTCACGATTGACTTCAAACTTGGGGATATAAAACTAGAGAGCTCTGGGGCTTAGTAATATTGCTGAAGTTAGGGATTTCGAACTTATTATTTTACATTTTTTGTAAAAATTCTTTTTTAAATATATGCCAATATCTCATAAAATTTGAAACCTACAAGAAAATAAATAGCATTTTCTCAAATAATAATAATAATGGAATTTATATAGCGCTTATACATCGCTGTTCTAAGCGCTTTACAATGTAAAAAAGGACATAAGAATATCATTAATCACAAGCTTACATATCACACCACTGTACATATTGGGGAATTTATAGCATACACTGCTGACACATCTTAAAAAGGAAAAAAAAAAACAAAAACAAATATGATGAAACTAAATGTCATATACCCTTTTAAAAAGAAACGTTTTCAACTTAGATTTAAAAAGATTAACATCAGAACAAGCTCGAATTTCAAAGGGGAGCTTGCTCCATAGTCGGGGGCAGCAACGGAAAACGCTCGCTGGCAATAGGTTTTTATGTTAAAATTTGTTTCTTCTATAGATGATCCCTTGATGACCGTAATGTCCTTGAATGATGGTAAAATTTTAAAATATCTTCAAGATAACGGGGACCGAAGTCACTCAAAGTTTGACCATTCTTTATTAAGGATGCCAAAAATCATAGAAATCGGTTAAATCGTTCCCGCCAAAAAACGCGATTCAAAAACATAACCAACACGCATATAAATAGGTTGGGGCCACCTTAAATTGCATCCAAAATTTTCGGGAAAATAATATTGGAGCCCTTTTAGTTGCGAGAAGACTCACGTTCTCCTAGGATGACCGAACAGGTACAAATTTTATAGCGCTGCTTAGAATGCATTCCTAGAGACCTAAAAGTACTCTGGAGAGTCTAGAAAGTGTTTTCAATGTATTTAGGAGGCAACCATCGTTGGGTTGCACTGTATAGTTGGATGCTCTAGCCACTGGGCTACTGGAGACTCTTAAAAGGTGAGCAAATGATTTTTCTTTGGATTATCACATGCATGTAAGGAATTTTTCACGCAATCAAATAATAATTAACAGGGGCGGTGTCACGTTTGTCTTGTTCATTTTGCTAACGATACCAATTGCTCATCCTTAGTTGCTATGGAACTTGAGAAATCACTTGGGAATGGCAAAATTAGAACCTTGTGTTGAAGAAATATCATGTCTCCCAAACATCATATCTTAACAAACAAAGGTAAACTTTTAAGAACTGTTATGCTAACAAGCTTCCCCAGCAAAAAACACAAATTATTTCAATACATACATGTACCACTTATCAATCGAGAGTGAGGTCATTACAGGGAAATCTCAGACCGAGGCTTTTAAGTATTGACTGAGCGATAGGGAGGTCAATCCATCAAAGCCGAGATTTCCCTGTAATGACCAAACGGATGAGGTTTATTTATAAATTTTTTATTATAACTATGGCCTTTTCATTACGGACCCGAGTGCACAATCAATTAAAACCAACAACTGGTCAGCGGATAACTTTAAAAAACATGTCACCTCAATCAGTTGTACATTTAAGCTCGCAAAACAGACAGGTAACACTGGTCAGTGGATACCCTTTTTAAAAGCTGTCAATTGACCATAACATGGGTGTTCATAAGGATGCATGTCCACTATCAAGTTAAACACAGATTGCAAATGTCCTGGACACCTAGTTAGTTATTGCAAGAAAACACTGCCCAGCCATTACCAAAAAATACCAGCCAATCAAGCATGCATACTATTGTAGCCATATAGTAAATTTCAATCTTCTTCAAGTTTGTCCATCAATTTGTATTTTCTGCATTATTTATACCTTCTTTAGGGACCAGTCATTATTTATGTATTTGAAGGGGGGGGTGGGGAAAGGGATTTTATTTTCATCAA